TATAGAATACTTAATAGCAGGAAACGTGTGATATAGAATACTTAATAGCAGGAAACGTGTGATATAGAATACTTAATAGCAGGAAACGTGTGATCTAGAATACTTAATAACAGGAAGCGTGTAATATGGAATACTTAATAACAGAAAGCGTGTAATATGGAAAACTTAATAACAGGAAGCGTGTATTATAGAATACTTAATAACAGGAAGCGTGTACTATAGAATACTTAATAACAGGAAGCGTGTAATATGGAATACTTAATAACAGAAAGCGTGTAATATGGAAAACTTAATAACAGAAAGCGTGTAATATAGAATACTCATTTACAGGAAGCGTGTAATATAGAATACTTAATAACAGGAAGCTTGTAATATAGAATACTTAATAGCAGGAAACGTGTGATATAGAATACTTAATAGCAGGAAACGTGTGATATAACCAAATGAGTCGCATTTTAACCTGTTTGTACTGCTGTTTCGTGTAAATATAAAGAATTCCTCATGAGACACTTGACAATGCGTATGCTGCTCTGACAGTATAAAGTTGTATGTTTGTGTTTAAGCTCAAAGCTCCACGATGGCCTATCGGTGCTGTGCCCAAAGCGGGTAACGAACCATTGATTGCAGGGTTATAATCTCCTAAGATTTCATTTGAGCAATCTAGAGCTTTTTTTGAAGCTGCAAAATGTGATGTATTTGTGTGGAAAAGAAATTGTAGCAGAGGTTCGGTCCAGAACAGCAAACAAAATCTAGAGTGATCCTGTTGCCAATTATGTTCACTACACAGCGCAGTATATTCACGATGATAAGCAAGAGTTCTTCCAAGATGATCATTCGGTCAAAGAACCCTTAACCTTGTACATCGTTAGAACCCTGTAGAGTTTATTCATGTTTTATTTTGAAGTGATGTCAATATAAACCAGATATTCGAGGTCACATTTAAGGTTACTAATCTGTGTCCGTCCCGACTCAATTGAGGTTATTAAGATGTGTCTTTGTTGATTCACTTGGTATGGGGTTTAATAAACTACGTTAACCAGGGGTAACTTTTCTTTATTACACTAGCTTCAATTAAACCAAATGAAAGCACAACGAAAACTTATTTTACTAAATCAACGTCTGTATTTCAAAAGCACCAAAATATAGCAGCAAACACATCATGTAGCATGAAGTTTAGCCATCATAAAGTTTTACTTCTACATCCACCATAATACATTATGTAGTGAGCCATTATAAGGTTTCACCTCTACACCAACTATAACATATTATGTAGTGAGCCATCTTAAAGTTTGACTTCTACATCCACCATAATACATTATGTAGTGAGCCATTTTAAGGTTTCACCTCTACACCAACTATAACATATTATGTAGTGTGCCATCATTAAGTTTGACTTTTACATCCATCATAATA